CCTTAAAATAATTTCAATAAGTTCTTTGAAACTATTTAAAAAAATTTTCTTCAATCATAATATCATTAAGGTATCATATAAATCCATAAAATTAGAATATTCGCCTAAATTTTTTGTACAACTCCTAGATGGTCATCATGGTTTTAGTCTGTAAACGCAAATAAAGTTTAAAAACAAAACGCCTTATGAAACAACGTGGGCACGGTCATGATTGGCTTAAATCATATTGTTGTAAATATTGTTTTGAATCAATTCATGATATGGGGGTAACCCACAGCAAAAGATGCTTCGGGACAATCACATGATTTTGAGAAAACCATTACCAAAATTAGTATATGATTATCATCTACATAATAGTATCAAAATAATTAAGCGAAATTATATACTTTTTTTATATAGATTTAACTTAAAAGCTGTTTTTTATAAAATATCAATTTGTTAGTTAGCTATCCTATAAAATCTCAAATTTTGATTGGTTGTCCCGAAGCATCCTTTTGCTGTGGGCTCCCCATATATGTTTTGAATCAATGTTAAACAATGAATTAAATCGTGAAAGTTGTCAGAATTCTAGAAATACTACGTTACATGCATAAATTACTATAAAGACTTTCACTAATCATATAATATTTTAAACTTATGTATACATTATCACAAAACCAGCTAACTAATTTTTCTAAGTAAAAAATGTTCTGCATTCCTAAAAACACCTCCCTAACTCTAATTACTAACCTTGTTGTAAATAAATTCGTGTTAAAAATTTTATACACAAAACTTAAATATATATATATATATATAATAAAAACATATAATAGGTGTAAAAAAACACCATAAGTGTGTTTTATAATAATTGAGTTAGTTACTTAAATTATTAATCTATATAGCTATTTAGCTCAACGCATAATTATGTTGTCTTTTTATTTTTATAATTTCATTTTTCTCTTAAATTTTATTTTTACTTTTGCTGCTTTTATTCCAAATGGAAGGCGTTGGCATTCATCAGTTCTTATTGATAAGAAACTCTATTTTAATGGTGGATATGATAATGGTGGTTTTAATTCTACAAATGAATTCTTTTATTTAGATGTTTCTAAACCATTTACAACAACAGACAATGTCAATGCTACGATAGCATGGATTGACCTTACTTATACTGGAGGTCCTTTTAGAGCAGAAGCTACAGCGTGTATTGGTGGAAAAAATAACGACATGATTTTTATCTTTGGTGGTCGTCCCCTTAATCAAACATTCATTAAACAATTTGATACGAGTAAACAACAATGGGTTAATATCACGTCAGTTGGAAATGCACCCGTAAGCAAATATGATATTTCATGTGCCAATTTTAACAATGGATTGATTGCAATTTTTAGTGGTCGTGATTCCATTAATGATCTTTGGATATTCAATACATTAACATTAACATGGAGTTTAAGCAATGCAACAAATGCACCTCTACCTTGATGGGGTTATTGTGCAATAACTTTGCCTGATAAAAATATTTTATATATTAGCGGAGCTACTTTAATTAGAATATATGAATATTTGTCAATGGATAATGTAAGTGTTATCTTTTAATAAAATTGATTTTTAGCCTTTATTGATTGATTCTTCGTAGTTACCGTTGTATAATACAGAATTTGATACGTGGACAAATATGATACGTAGTTAGTGATAATAATTTTCATTATTTATTAGCAACTACTAATCTAAATGTATTATTTCAATAGAGTATATCTGGCCCAACTCCTCCTGCTCGCGTTTTCTTCTCAGCAGTATTAAGTATGTTATTAATAATTTCAGTAAATGTTATATTATAATGTTTCTCAATAAATTAAATATAAAGTTTCTTTTAATAATCATTAAATTAAAAGCCTCTGACGGACGTATTATAATTTTCGGTGGTTGGACTGGAACTAAAACTTTGGATGACCTGTGGATCTTAGATATTACAACACTACAATGGTCAATTGGAAACATTTTAAATCCAATTGTGGGTTTAACTCTTTATGGTCATACTGCAACATTAGTGGATAATTATATGTTTGTTGCTTTTGGTAAAAATTTTAATTATCTTTATGCTGTTACATACTGTTACTTATAAATTATTTAAACTTATTAAACTTTTATTTATTTATCAGGTACTTTTTCCAATACCGGTGATAATCTTTCATCAACAATATATATGTTAGATGTAAGCCAAAAAAATTCCTACAAATGGGTTAATGAATTTACCCCAAATTCCACAACTACTACAATTATTACAACTACTACAGCTACTATAAGCAATTCAAGTTCAAGCAATACAAATACTATCTTAATTATTGGCACCATTATTGGCAGTATCATTTCTTTATTAATAATAGTTATAGCAAGTACTTTAACACTAAAGTTTATTGATAAATATAAATAAATGGATAACTAAATTTATTTTAAATGATATAATTAATATAATTAGTTTATTTCTTTAATTATTGCATAGCATCGCTACTTGTTATTGCTTATTGAATAATTTCTTAAAGTCACTTTTTCAAAGAACACGCAGGTCCGTATGTATGCAGGCAAAAACTTCATATGCCAGTACTCAATTGTTTTTTCTTAATACTTGCACTTCTTACTAAACGAACTAAGCATGTTCAATAATCTGTTACGTTTTAAAATCTATAAATTATGTTTAAGTTGCATATATTTTATTTTCCTTTATTTGAGCAATATTAAAAAATAATCATTCGAATACTATTATTTTTTATATTGCAATCGTACAGATGTTAGATGCTTTCATGAAAAAAAGGGTTGGTTGCTGTTATTTTATTTAATGAAATTATCAAAAAAAAGTGCAACAATATTAAATGCTACAGTCACGATTTATAAAGTCTCATTATGAAATTTTGATTAAAATTGCTAAAAGATTAGCACGAGCAATATCTTAAATTAATGTAAGTTATTATACGTTCTAAATAATATTTATTCACACACCCTAAATAATTTATTTCATTTTTGCCCCGAATTTTCAGATCTCATAATAATTGTTAACTTAATCCTATTTTATTGTGAAACAATCCGACCTGAATCATACAAACAAAAGAATCTTTACGAAGATAAGGTTCCATAAATGAAGGAATAGTAAATATGGCGATAGTATTAAATAGTACCAGTTTAAATAACCATATTCCCCAACTATATTTTACTTCATTTATGGCTATTCCATTTCCAACCAACAAACTTTCAACGACTTCCCAAAGAATAAGCAAAAGGCCATAAGAAAAAAAGAAAATCATTTATTCACCTGGTCTTGTACCCCACATACAATAAACTATATATTCATGTAATAGTCCACTAACGAAATAAGCAGACAATGTTCCAAAAATATTTTAAAGATTTTTAACAGAAACATAACCTAGATCTTAGTGTGAAAATTAATTACAACACATTTGTTATGCAGGTAACCGAAAATAACAAAATATTATTGCTCGATCAGATGACTTTATTTAGACGAGGAAGAACATATGGGAATCTGTTCGCTATCATTTACAGGTTTTACAGGTTCTATACCAAATATGCTTAACTGACTATTTCTCTAAGGGAATATTTCATTCCAAACAATCCTATAACCTATTGCATACCTATGACCACACATAAACATATCATATCAAGAAGGAATCATAATAGCTATGAAGAGAATCGGAGACATAGATATTGATAACACGAATGTTACTAAGACATCATCATGAAGTTGTTTTTTTATAAAATCTACATAGATCTATCAAGTTATATAAATGTTATATAAAATTTTTATTTAGATTTACAAACCCAATGTAGACTTACATAGTTATAATTTTATATTTATATAAATTTTATTTATTATTTACAGTATATAAATATAAAAATTAGGACGAATCTATTTGTAACAGCCTGTTACACGCCCTATTTGTAACAGCCTCGAAAATAGGGTCGGAAATAGGGTCGGAAATAGGTTCAAAAACCAAAGTTAAAATTTTATAAAAAAATAAATATATAGTAATAGTCGAAAAATCAAAACTTATGATTTAAAATGCGATGTAAAATTTTATTTTTATTTACAGTGTATATGCAATTACACTCTTATATTTAACACCTATACGTATAACTATCGCTATACATACGTACGTACGTATAAACCCATTTTTAAAGTTATTATCGTTATGTAACCATATATAGCTGCAAAAATGTGATTCATCGCTATAACCTAAAAATCCTGTATGATCAAGCTTTGAAGATCGTCAAAACGCATTGAGACAGACAATAAAATGCAAATATTTATCGATACATATCTTGTTTTCAAATTCTATTTTTGTTGCAACATTTGACTCCCGATAAACAGCTATCGATTTTACTAAAGCATGAACATTAATTTGAAACAGCGATAATAAAACGAATTAAAAGAATAAAAAAAATCATACCTAGCGATTTTGGCATCTCGCAGTATTGTGTCCTGATTGACCACATGTTCTACAGGTATATTTAGCATGCGGCTTTTGTTTTTTTTCAGTTGATGATTTATAACGCTTGGTCTTTGAACGTCCTTTACACCGTGATACTAATAGATTTTCAACTTGACTTAGTTTGTTTTCTTTGTCCGAATTGTTTGAATAAGAATCAGAATCTTCATTTTTATCTTCAGGTTCTTGATTTCTTTTTTTAGTAACCGTAGTTACCATTTCTTTCTGCCGTTGAATAAATTCTCTTAGCCATACTAATATCTCATGATGATTATTTTGCTCAATGGCAAGTTGAGTAGCCTGTCTTGCCAGCCCCCAAATTTCACCATATACTAATTTTTTTTGTGCAGAGTGACGCAAAACAGTGCTAACCGTTTTAGGCATAGTTGAGGGATTTGAAACTAAAATTCCATCAAATTGTTTTTTACAGACTTCTGGTTCGTAAAACAGCAAGCTTCTTCATCAACATCATCATCTTTTCGCTCATCAATATACCATCTTGAAGGTATCATTTTAATATGAAACCCTGCAAATCCTGAGTGCATCATCACTTGAAAATAATGGCGGCAAATGATGCCTCGGGATATATTGGACATGCAAGAACAAAGATACGAGATGGTATTAACAACTATAACAAAATGGATATAATTTCTATTGTTTGGTCTTATATCGGTAATTTTCCACACTTCTTTAACGTTGTTTTCATTAACTTCAGTAATCATTGATTTCAACAAATTAGGATCATCATCCTAAATATAAAAATAATAAAAATTTTGTTGACGAAAATCGAAACCAGTTTCGATTTTTGTTAATATTAAAACCTTTAAGCTTCATTTAACACCTATTACTCAAAAATATTTATATTGAATTTTATTTACCTTATTAAAAGTTTTAATAGTGTCCAATTGTATTTGACTTGCGGCAAAGTAAAGACATTGTGCCATTTCTAAATGTTCAGCTGACAATATATGAGGAGTAAGGTATTTGGTCATTAGATTGTCAATTTCAGGAAAAAGATCATGCCCAGCTGATACAATTCCCATAGAGGATGATATAGTGTGATATTCAAAAAAACGATTCCATTGTGCCTCATCCTGAAGCCTTTCCTCTATCGCACTAGCAAGATCACATAAAGTACTAGTAGATGTTAACACACGCTTAATAATGTTGTTTAGGCTTTCAACACGAGAAGTCGTTTGAATTCCTGCAGTGAATATTTTTGACATAAATACATGGGCCCATGATTGTCTACTAGGATAAAGAGATCTCATCAAATAATCTTTGGCATCGGCATATTTTATGGTAAGTTGTGTCCATCTTTCATGAAAAAGTTCTTCACATAAGCTGTTACGACATTTGAAAAAATCATAAACGAATTCATCATACTGGTCACGGAGTTTGGATTTGAGGTTCTTTGGTAAATTTTCACTAATGTGAAAAATACAATGAACTGAGTATGCATTTTCATATACTTGTCCAACCGCTGCATCTGCAGCAGGATCTGCGTCAGTCACAAAAACTAATGGTTCAACTGATGTTGCTTTTTTGGTACCTATTTATATGACTCAGTTGTTTCATCTGAAATAAGGGCTTGCGCAACAAGACGTGATCTAGTATTGTTGTCCACAACAAGAAAAAGTGAAAATGGCATCTGATAACGATTTGTCTTGGCAGTGTTGTCATTTAATACAATATCATAATATTCTGTCCAAAGAGCAATCTGCATTGGTGACATCCAAAAAAGGTGAATAAGCCTATTTTCACTATCAAGTTCAAACTCAATTACCCATTCAGGGTCTTGTGATTTCTTTTGAATCAATGTTGTAAGTAAGCGGGATGCATCTATCTTTTCATCTGGTTTGACCTTAAATTTTTGTATGGCATTTGCAAGGTCATGCTCAAGAATCAACTCATTTGGAAACTTCGCTTTAAACAACCTTTTCTGAGAGCCAATTGGTAGGTTTCCATGTTGAGTAAAAAATTGAATTTCATCAAGAGCATCCTGTGAAATGTTTCGATATTTTGGTGCATAAATTGCTGTATTAGAACATAGTGTATGGTTATGTGTACTGCTAAAGGTTGTAACAGTTATGTGTGAAGCATTTTTTGGGTTATTAATATTAATGTGCCATTCACAATTTTGACGCTTTGATTTACGGTTTCAGTGTTTATCAACATCTACTTGTTTTTTTGGTCGATATTGGCCTCCAAATTCACACCCGAAACTACGGAGCTTAATACTACCATCATTATGTTGTTCCAACCTTTTTTTAATGATTCCAAATCCCTGCTGCTTGCCGTATGTTTCTATAATCATATCTACTTCTTCCCATGATGTAAAGGAATAACCAACACAAAGATTCACTTTGTTAAGTGCATCCATACCTAGGTAAGTAAAATAATGTAAGAAGTCTAACAAACTTAACACAATTTACATTTTTATTTGCAGATTCCTGAGGTGTTTGATCACTATATTCAGGTGTTTCTTGATTACTATATTCAGGTGTTTCTTGATCACTATATTCGGGTAGTTCTTGATCACTTTCAAATCCATGTGAAGCGTGTAATTTAGTATGATCACTATTACTTGGAACTTTTTCTACGCTTTTTCTGGCAAAATTGTTTGGCGTGTCTGGATTAAATCATCAACTTTTAGTTATGATTAAATGCAAAATCAAGTTTATTATATTTTTTTTGAATCTATATATACCCTGATATTCCGTATCCATCTAACTTTTTTTTTTTTAAAGTAGCTCAAAGGTATATCCCGTTTATTTTATGTATTCACAGGTTTTCAATATGTATAAGGTACTTTTTTTGTACGAAGAACTTTTAAGAAACAATTAGGCAAAAGAAACTATAATTGTTTTGATCACTTTATTTATAGGGGTAGGTGATTACATCATATATTACAATTAATTACATCATAATTATATCAATCAAAATAAATTAAATTATTTATGTACAACTGGTTACATTTCCACTATAGATGTCGGGATCTTAGGTAACGCAACAAATTTTGTTATATAGTCGAGATTTAGTCAGGGCAACTACAAGAAATTTAAACACGTGATGCAAAAAGAGTAATACTGCTAAATATACGAACAGTAAAAGACATACTACTAAATATACAAACAATAGAGGACATAGCGATATGTATTTAAAGTATGAATATAGGTATTACGCTATTTCTATCACATATTTAAACTACTTATTTTGTTTTGGCAGGAATCAAATACTGCAAAGTTAATACGTATACTATATTTTTAATTTGAGTTTATGGTGTATTATTTTAACCAATCAAATAATATTGTTATCACGTGAGTTCCGGAGCTGTTACAGATAGGGTGTGTAACAGGCTGTTACAAATAGATTAATTCTAAAAATTATATAAATTTTATTTATATCTACATAAAAATGAATTAATTTACTTTGGCTATTTCTCAAAAATGACTAAGGTAATCAGTGTTAGATATGCTAAGTAAAAATGTTCAGCAGGCCAGAAAACACTCCCCAAACCCCTAATTTAAACTTTAAAATCCATTTCTAGCTTTAATATTTAAGTTGAAATTTTTTCGAAATTTTACATAACTCTACATAGATTTATACATAGATTTATATAAATATCTATGTAAATCTACATTGGGTTCATAAAGCTACATAAAAATTCTACGTAACTCTATGTAAAATAACTTCGTGATGATAGGCACTTGAACTGCCTACAGCTGCAGTCACCAAAACTTGAGGTTCATGCGCTGCTTACTGCAGCCGCGAAGCCTAAACGCCAAAATCAAGGTCCTCACACTGCCTATAGCAGTCGCAAATCCAAGGCGAGCGGTAGCAAAAAGAAAGTTATTCACCTCTAGTAACCAAAGGCTCCTTAAATACATTATTGATTACATAATCGGAACCATATGATTATCCCTTGTTTTCCTTACATTTCAACAACCATAGTACGTAGCCAAAAAATACTTGTATCTAACAAGCCATCGTAAGCTACAACAAATCGAACATGTGATCTATAAAGTCATCTGATTTTGCAATGGTGATCGCCTTGTCACTTAGTTGACAAGCTCTTCAATTACGATATTTTGTCATAATCGGAAATAAAGTTACAATAGTATGTCAGGAGACCGATATTATTATCCATTATATAAGAAACCCAGATTTTATTTACGTACGTATATACGTAGTATGATGATACAGTATCGGTATGATTGAGAATATCGTAATTTTTGAGATTCTATTCTGGGTTTAAAATTTGATCAGAAAATGTCATAAAGGCCGTATCCGAGTTCTAAAATTGTAATGATCGTGCGGAAATAAGGGAGCCCTGCTGATTCATAACTGCACTCAAAGTTATAGTTTTATTAATGTTTTGACTTGCGTTGTTCGCATGATTAAATTTACGCACGTAAAAATTTATAAAAATTTAATTTCTCAAAATTATGTAAATAACGGTAATCTTCCGACACTGATAGATTAATTATAAGTGAATTATAAGTTTGCATAGCGCGTAAAAACCCAGAGTAAAGCGAACTAAGTAACTATAAATGATCATGATTATATACATAGGTTTTCACATTTCCATATTCTTAATTGGGATATGAATAATGTTTATACCGTATATTAAAGAATTTTTTACAGTAATACATGATGAAAATCACGATAATTTCAACACAACATTAACTTGACTACATACTATATTTCACTGGAATAGCAAGTATTTTGTAACAAAATTCTTTTACAGCAACTCATGATGGAAGTTGCAATACTAACTAATTCAACTTTACTACAAATTATTGTCACTGGAATAGCAAGTTCATGGTGGAAGTCACGATCACTGGAGTAGCCAATTTTTAACAAGATCTTCTATAGCAACTCATGATCAAATGCAAACTAACTCTCCATGTATTATGATTACCGGGTGGCGAATAAATTTTGTAACAGAATTTCTTACAAAAATTCCAATACAAACAAACTTTAACTACAAATTATTGTCACTGGAATACTAAGTAATTTTTACTTTAGCACATGGTAAAAGTCACAAACTAGCTCGACTTTAACTACATACCATGTCTAACTAGAATATCGATTTCTGTAACTGAAGGATATTTTATAGCAACTCTTGACAGTAATTACAATAATTTCGATACAAATTAACTCACTACATTTTTGATTATCGGAATGGCAAGTGAGTTTCATAACAGAATTTCTTACAGCAACTCATAAGAGGAATTACAAAAATTCTAATATAAACTTAACCTTAACTACAAAATATTGTCACTGGAATAGCAAGCAAGTTTTACTGGTATGAGTCGGGTTCAATAATTCCAACACAAATTAGCAACACGTACGGATCATCAGAAGCAAGTTTTGTAATAGAACTTTTTACAGTAAATATTTTTCAAAAATTTCCCGTGACGAAGGTACAGGCAGAACGCTAATTGGTTTTTTAAGTTTCAGCCCATGCCAATATAAACTCAAAAACTAAAAATTATATTTCCTTGTTTAACTAAATAATCTTTATAGTAACCTGATTAGTGATGCCTGACGAAACCATGTGATGCTAATTGTCACATGGTACAGTATATAAAAATCAACAATTAATTTTGATTTTTTATAAATAATAGCATGTGATAATTAGCATCACATGGTTTCGTCAGGCATCACTAAACCTGATCAATATATTTTTTTTCTCTGATTTTTTAATGGGTCAGGTCTCCAAATAAATAGTGTTAAAAAAATGAATTGAATTCAGATTTTTGTGTTGGATGAATGATATATTTTTAACCATAACAAAAGTTTATCAACCAATTTAATTGGTTCATTCGTTACATCCCTAACATTAATATTTACCAGTTTATATCTAGTCACAAGGAAAAGCGGTTTATTGTGGAAAAGTTGATGAATAGAACATCCAATGAACTAAGTGATACCATTCGCTTCCTTTTTCTTGAGACGAATTGAATGGTATAAAAATTATCTCGGTATTCTATTCATCGTATAACCTCAACACTTATATAAATACTTTTTTATTCGATGAAGTAGATCATATGCATTAAATAAACTTGTTTTTCGTAACACATTTTATTTAACAAAGTTTTCTTGATGTAAAAAATTTATACCTTTGTCAACACAATGAATATACAATTAAAGCTAAAAACATTAGTTTTATATTCTATTTGCTAATTTATTTTGTTTATACCATATCATGGAAAGACATTTATATACATTTTTATTACATGTAATCAATAACAAAAACGATATATTTTAAAGATATTTACATTTCTGCGACTCTATTTTAACATTTAAGACGAATCGTTTTGATTATAATGACATATAAAAACGATAAAACCAGAGTAAAAATTTCTTTAAAAATGTAAAAAAAAAAATAATTAAATACTTTTAGTATAAACTTAATATTAACAATATTAACCTTATTTAACGCTAAAAACATTTTTAATACGCATTTAAAAACTTGATACCACACTATGAATTTTAGTATACGTATTTGATATGTATTATTTGAAACGATTACTATTATTTAGTGCTTAGGTCCGTTCAAAAATCCATCTGATTTTCTATTAGATATCTGTTATTATTTAATACTTCACTATGATCAGTTTATAAAATAAATCAATTATTTTATGGTATTTTTAAATGATAAAAT